GCCTGGGGCAGGATAGGGTTTTGGGGAGGGGCCGGGGGGGCCCAGTACCCAGATGTGCAGCCCATGTGTGAGCACCCCTCTCTGCAGGGGAAGACATGAATGCAGATGGACGACAGCAGCTGGCCTTGTTTCTGGTGAGCAGGAAGGGGGTGCCGGGATGGCCAGGGGGCACCTGTGGGGCTTGAGGACAGCGTTGGAAGTGGCAGCTCATAGAGAACATGTGGTTTCACCGGGGCGATTGGTGGCTGCTGCTCATTGCATGTTCTACGCACCCTCCCCCGTCCCCATCCTGCGCTCTTTCTTCAGGCTCAGAAGCATCTGCACAACTTCGAGGCCACACATTGCACCCCTCTCCCGGCCCAGAACTTCCAGATGCCCTGGCACCTCTAGCGACCACACTGGCACTTGTTTTGAAAGAGTGGGTTGGAGGGAGATGTGAGGAAGGATCCTCTTATTTGTGATTCTCTGTGTTCGTGTTGCTGTTAATAGTTTGTGGAAAGGGGGGGACTGTCCCCCTTCTCACTGCCCTCTTGCACGTTTCCCCTCAGCCATCTGGCAGTACCTAACCTTCCCCAATACACATCCTGCATTCAATGAATGGATTATTCCTAATAATTAATAAAAAGGTATTTTTTCTACAGGCTGGTTAATTGTTTGACTTCCCAGATGTCCACAGGAGCCTGGAGCTGGGAATGGGGACAGCTGAAGCCACAGAGGGCCGTGCTTTGGGCAACCCAACCCCAGCCAGCCAATGTAACCCTCCTCATCCTCGCTGTTCCCCTAGGCCTGCAGCCCCCAAGCAGATCTGTCTGCACGTGGTGGGTCCCCAGGCCTCCCCGTTTGCTGGTGTGTCTAGTAGTATCACCACGTACAGCCTCCCCAGGCTGCAACACAGTCCTTCCTGTGAAACCCTGCTGCCACCCCAGGAACTCACGGTTGCCCCCTTTGCTTACAACTCCATGGGTTTGTCACTTACACAGTGTCTTCTAGTACCTGGTTTCCCCTACTTGAGAATCTTCTACGGATTTCCAGATTCAACCCCACATGGCTTCACCATCAGTGTCCGCAGGGTTCCCTGCTCAGCTCTTGCTCTTCCCCGGGGCAGGGGGCGGGGGAGGATCAGCCCACTCCCCACGTCTCATGCAGGCAAACCCTGCACACCTCAGTGTCATCAAACCTCTCTTCACACATGGTTGCAGTCTGACAACAGGCCCTGCCAGGGACCTGGCACCCCCTGCCTGGTGCCCCACCTGCCTGGGCACCAAGGGCTTATGTTCTCTCAGAGCCATCCTTCACCTTTCTGGACAGCTGTCAGAAGAAAATCCTTAGGTTGAACCTGAGGAAATCGGTTTCCCCTAATTCTGTGCTATTTCCAATTCTTGGATTTCATGGAACAGAATGGGCCCCACTTCCACCCATCTGTATGTTGCATGGCCACCTTCCCCTTTGAAAATCCCTTTTCTAGATGAAACTCCCCCACATATGCGCCCCTTGGTCTACTGTTTTGAACAGGCTTAACATGGGCCAGTAATAATGCTCTGATGTCCTAGATGGCCTCTGGCTAACTTGAGTGTCTCCTGGAACCCCAGGGCATGAGGCTTCTCTGCAGTCTCTGGGGCAGAGGCTGTCTGCCCACACCAGCTCAGCAGCTCCTTAGGCAGGGGCATCCCAAGTCTTCACTGGAAGAGTGATCGGAGACTTGTCAGGTGATACGATACCTGGTACTTGGGGTTAAAAGAGGAGGTGGCCACAGCTCCAGAATGCTCTACCTTTAGCAAATACTGGAGAGTTGATACTGGCACTGCATTCCTCTGTCCCTGTCCTCAGTGTGAACAGGGTGCAAAGTGTGGAGCATGAAGCTGTAGGACCAGCTGCATGGTTCTGAACCTCACCCTCCCTGATCCACCAGAACACTTAGTTATTCCCTTGGAAAACAAGTCTGTTCAGTTAACCACCTCCTTGAATGCAAATAGGGGGCACCTGGACCCACCTTCCACACCCTGGAGACAAAGGACTCTCCCTGACCAGGCTACTAGGGACTCTGGACTCTGTTGACCTCCCTCTACCACCACTTCCCCCTCCGCCTTCTTCCTGCACATACTATAAAGAACAGTGGATATCATGAGGAACCCTTGGATATTGGAAGTTGGTGAGGAGAGGGGAGGCTTAACATTTGAATTCTGGACCCCCCTCCACCCATGGGCCTCAGTCTACCTCCTTAAATTACGCCCCACCTGATAAATCTCACATCGGGTGTTTGTTTTCAGAACACCCATCAGAGTGGGACCAGCTGCCTGTCCACTCCTCACCCTATACAGATTTCGGAAAAGAACAGCTGAGATGCAGACCGCACATCTGCTGGGGCTTTGGACCTTGCCTCACAGGGGAGGGATAAGGAAGGCCCAGACGGCCAGGCGTCCCCGAGGAGCTGGGCACACTGGAGGAGAGGGGGGAGGCTGGGACAAAGAAGAATTAGCGGGAAACCTGCGAAATGGTGGGCCCCGGCTGGGCTGTCCCCCATCCCTCCCCGTCTCCCAGGCCCAGGCTCGCCCCGGGAGCTGCGGGAGCGGGCTCAGGACTCCGCGTCAGGGCCGAGGATTTGCTCCGCCCCCACCCCCGCCGGCTGTCGCGCGGGAGGCCGGGTACCTCTGCCTCCGTCCGCCCACTCAAGCCATCCCAACTCCCTCGGGAGCCAAGGCCTTCCTTGTTTCCATTCGTTTGTATTCGGGCTGAAGATCGCTCCTCCCGCCGCAGCCCGACCTCGGCCTTCAGTCCTCAGGCCCCACCTCCTTCGCTCGGCCCCTCGGGCTCACGCTCCCGTAGGCCCGGCCCCCCGCCGCCGTCTCCATGGCGACCACAGCAGCGCCCCGCCCCCGCCCCCGGGAAGGCCGCCTCCGAAGGGGTCGCCGAGGCCACCGAGGCCACCGACCCTCGGGGCTCTGCGCGCGCACTGGCCGCGCCCCGCCGCGGAGCCGGGGGTAACAGCCCGGAGCAGGCCGGAGCGGCACGGACGGCTCCGAGGCCACGCGCTGCCGAAGGACACGGCTCCCGGCCCCCCCGCCCCCCCCGCCCCCCCCCGGCTCCCCCCGGCCCCGGAATACCAGCCCTGTGTTCCCTCCGGCTCCGCGCTCGGCCTCGGGTCTCCAACTCCTCAGGGTGACTGCTTGGGGAGCGCAGCTGTCATCCCCAAGTCCCGAGTGCTGGGACTTTCGGCTGCGACTACGTTCCAGAAGGGGGTTCCGAGGACTCCGTCAAAGTCCCTTCTAACTCCCTTGGGCCCCTGCGCTCCAAGAGGAGCCCGCGCTGATTCTCCTCCACCACTCCCGTTCATTCAGCAGACAGGCTGCTGCCAGGCGCTCCTCCCCGTCTTCCTTACTCTTGACTTTCCAGTAATACCATTTTCTTACTTCGTACGTCCCCAGGCTCCTGGAAGCGCAGTGTTTCTTCTTTGCCGTGCGTCTTCCTTGGCACGAGTCTCCGTCCATCTCTTCCCGTCGTCCCCATCAGGTCCCCGAGGCCGGTGGACTCTCGGCTGGTCCGGGACTGTAAGCAGGGAGCGCTCCCGCAGGGCCGCAGCCCGAACCCCCAGACCGGCACTGGGAGCGGGCGCTTCGCTCCTGTACTCCCAGCTCTTCCCAGAGCTCTGCGCCCCTTAACGTGCAAGCCCCGCGTCTCCGAGAGACTGACCGGGAGCGGCAGGCGGTGGCCCGGCAGGTGGAGGAGCCCGGCCGGCTCGCCCCCCGCCTCCGCTCGCCCCCGCCGGGCGGGCTCGGTGGCGCCGCAGCGCCGCCTTCCGAGGGAGCCGCGTAGTTCTGGGCGCCCGTCAGGGGTGCACGCCTGGGTCCGACGCCGGCCGGCGCTTCCCGGGGTTTCTGCCCAGCCACCCGGCGGAGACCCGAGCTTGGCCTGGGGGCCGCCCCCGCATCCTCCCGGGGGCCCTGAGGTGCAGTCAAGCTCGGAGGGCGAGCGCTCGGCGCCGGGCCTGTGGGCGCGGGAGATGAGAGCCACTGAGCTGCAGTCGAGCTTCGGCGGAGCGGAGTGGGGCGGGCAGGAGAGAGGTGCGGGCTACCCGGAGCCCGAGGCCCCTGGACGGAAGAGGTCGCTGGGCACCCGGGTGGCCTCGCTTTGGGATTTCTTTTCTTTTCTTTTTTTTAATTTTTTAATTTTTTATTTATTTATGATAGTCACAGAGAGAGAGAGAGAGAGAGGCAGAGAGAGGCAGAGACACAGGCAGAGGGAGAAGCAGGCTCCATGCACTGGGAGCCCGATGTGGGATTCGATCCCGGGTCTCCAGGATCGCTCCCTGGGCCAAAGGCAGGTGCCAAACCGCTGCACCACCCAGGGATCTCCGCTTTGGGATTTCTGACTGTCCCACGTTTTCCCCATCTTGGAAATGGTACCACCAATCACCTCCTTGTGCAAGCCTATCCCCGACCTTCCCTCTTTCTATTTTCAGTCTAACTCCAAATCTGTCCAGTCTTCCTTCTAAGGATGCCGGAGTCCTTCATTTCTGGGGGCCGCTGCCTCCCTTCCGCTAGACCAGGTCTCCATCTTGTGACTGGACCCTGCAATAGCTTCCTAACCGGTTTCCCGGCCTCCGCAGTCTTGGACCAACAGAACAATGATCTTTCCCCTCCTTTGGTCAGTGCGTTGGACGCCCCAGGAGCTCCCCTTCCCCCCTTTATTCTTTGTTGCCTTCCCCACTAGACTGCTCTGCGAGGGCAGGGAACTTGTGCAATGTTGTATCCCAACACCTGATACAGTGATTCGATACACTTCTGTAGGATAAATATGAAAGTTTCCCTCCCATTCCCCTCTTGCCAGAGTTCTGTTCCCAAGCCAGGATGTTAGGCCTTAGAGTGGCCGTGGGTGAGGACACTCTGTCCCTCTGGCTATTTTGGCACTGATTTCCACCCCAAATGGGTGTTACCTGTCTCCTTCCTCTTGACCAATTTCTCTTCCGCTAATATAAGCCCCCAACTGAAGGCTGTTAGGCAGTCATGCATTTTACCGCAGGCCTTGAAGGTAGCCGGAGTATGGGCGCGGAGTATGGGTGCCTTCCCAGCACCTCTCAAGCCCTGTACGTGATCCTCTTAATAGTGCTGGTCAGGATGAGCTTGGTGTTTGGTAAGTGGCTCTAAAGGCCTCCTGGTCTGCTGGATAGAGAAACCCACAGACACCAGGTGTCTGGGTACATCTGCCCAGGATGGTCAGGTAAACCCAGGCAGGAGGAGAGGTGGGATGGATGGGCTTGGTGGGATAATGCCTAGGGACTGGTGATGGGCTGATGTTCACTCTGAGGGAGATTTCTTGGTATCACTCCAGGGCTGTCTCAATAGCAGTGACCTGATGGAGATACTGAAGGGACCCCATTCAAATGTGGGGCAGTGTAGAATAGGGAGCGTTCCGGGAACATGCTAAATGACAGAACCAGGATGGGATCCACAGAGTAGAACAAGCCTCAATTGAGCCTGATAATCTCTTCACTTGGCTGAAAAACAGGACTTATGTAGAAACAGGATTCAAAGTGTTTGTTCTCTATCTGCCTCACACCAAGTGCTCTGCTGGGCCTGGGGATTCAGTAACATGTGGTCTGGGCCTGGAACCAGAGAAGAGGGAGGTGTACAGACATGTGGTTGGGGAGGGCTTTGGTAGACAAAGTTTAATAGGAGTCTTTCCAGTGATAAGACCACCAAAGAAAGAATGTGGTGGTAGGTTGCTTGAAGTCTGCTGTTGGCACAAAGCATGGATTCCTCCTGTCCTGTGATGATGCGATCTTGTTTTCACTTCTGAACATTACAGATTAAGAAAGCATATTCAGAAGCAAGTCCATAGGAGTGGGGGGTCCCAGAGGAAGAACCAATCCTCACAGAACTGCCCAAAGCTGGAATGAGCTGCCCCTGCCTAACCTGTGAACGTAAAAGCTTACAGGGTGCTGGGCACACGTTAGTACCTCAAATATATTGAATGAGTGAATGAATTTTTTATTGAGTCCTTTATTAGCCCAGAATGGAGATTTTAACAAGGACTAAAGTCTCTGGTAGAGGATTAAGCCAGATGGTTTTTTTTTTTTAAAGATTTATTTATTCACAAGAGACACACAGACACTGAGGCAGAGACACAGAGGGAGCGGCAGACTCCATGCAGGGAGCCCAATGTGGGACTCGATCCCAGGATCACGCCCTGAGCCAGAGGCAGACATTCAATGCGGAGCCACCCTGGCATCCCAAGCTGGATGCTTTTAAAGAATTGGTGGTTTTATGGTTTTCTGAGATGGGAAGATGGAGGGAACAGTGGGGCGACGAGCCTGGAAACTAAGTGGGTTTGGAGTCAGTGTTTCTCTGTGTTCTAGGTAATTTTGATCCTGAATTCCCTCATCCAGTTCAGTTCCCCAAATACCTGCGCTGCTATCGATGCCTCTTGGAGACCAAGGAGTTGGGATGCCTTCTGGGATCTGACATCTGCCTCGCCCCACCTGGCAGCAGCTGCATGACTCTCCTCATAAAGAACAGTGAGCTGCTTGCCTTTGGCTCAGTCCATTACCAAATTGCATCTCGGCTGCACCTCACCTTGGGGGTCCTGCAACCCCTAGACTCTGTTCCATCATTGTTTCTCTTTCCTTACCTTCAGAGCCACTCACTCTCTGTCTCTGCTTCCAACCTCTTGTTCCTTCAGCCTGCAGCTGACTGGCTTCTGCCTTCCTGACAGCACGGAGCCTTGGTGGGGGGGACCCTTGTGATCACCAGGTCCCCCAGTCTGTCCTCAGGCTGCCTTCTCCCTGCCTGTCAGCCACCATTGCTACAGACAACTCTGCCTCGTCCACAGCTTTTTCCCAATCTCTTTCACTGGGTCTCGCCTTATTCTCCTTGACCCTTCAGGGTTCATGTTCGCCAGAGTCTGGGCCTTAGCTATCTTTCTGCTCGCTCTCCCCACAGGATTTGCTCTGCTTCCTCCTGAATTTGAATGTTAGGCCAAACTGTTATGTCGAATGGCCTCTGGACAGCTCCATTTCATTTTTTTTCTTTTTTTAAGATTTATTTATTTATTTACGATACACACACACACACACACACAGAGAGAGAGAGAGAGAGAGAGAGAGAGAGACAGAGAGAGAGAGGCAGAGACACAGACAGAGGGAGGAGCAGGCACCATGCAGGGAGCCTGATGCAGGACTCGATCCCGGGACTCCAGGATTGTGCCCTGGGCCAAAGGCAGGCGCCAAACCACTGAGCCACCCAGGGATCACCCCCCCCCCCTTTTCATTTTCAACTTGCTGAAAATTTACTACATTTCCCTGTTCCTCATGCCTGTTTTTTTTTTTTAATGATTTAATTTATTTATTCATGAAAGACCCACACAGAGAAAGAGGCAGAGACACAGGCAGAAGGAGAAGCAGGCTCCATGCAGGGAGCCCGACATGGGACTCGATCCTGGGTCTCCAGGATCATATCCTGGGCTGAAGGCGGCACTAAACTGCTGAGCCACCCGGGCTGCCCCCTCATGCCTGTTCTTCCACACAATCCCTCCTTTTTTCTTTTATTCATTCTTTTTTTTTTTTTTAAGTAGGCTCAACGCCAACTGCAGCTTGAACTCCCAACCTCTAGATCAAGAAGTCACATGCTCTAAGACTGAGCCAGCTGGGCACCCCTCCCTTACCCTTTTTAACAACCACAAACATGTATTATATGCGAGCACTGTTCTAAGCACTTACAGCCCTCTGAGGTAGGAATTGTTATTATCCCCATTTTATAGATGAGGAAACGGAAGCACAAAAGGTCAGTTACCTTGGCCAAGTCTCTTAAAAACTGAGTCACAATGTGTGGTGATCCCAGAGATGGTGCTCTCTTTCACTGCATGAAATTGCCTTCAAATCAAAACTCAAATCTTTTTATTATACTTTTAAAAAAGATTTTACGTATTTATTCATAAGGGGGGGGGGCAGAGACACAGGCAGAGGGAGAAGCAGGCTCCATGCAGGGAGCCTGCATGGGACTCGATCCCAGGTCTCCAGGATCACGTTCTGGGCTGCAGGCGGGGCCAAACCGCTGAGCCACCCAGGCTGCCCCTTCTCTTACTTTTGATCCATAAAATGATGACAAACACCATTTCTTTGCAATCTGACCACTGATAAATGTATCTCCCAACTTAGATGGTCCTGAAGTGCTGGTTCTCCCCCAGCAAGACCCTATTCAGCCCCCTCCAACCATCCAACCATTGAATGGCTCTTTCCCACCGACCTTCCACGGAATCCATTGCTGGTGACTCCCTGGCATTCCCTGCCCCCTCCGTTTCAGGAATCTGCCTTTTGGGGGTCCAGGGAAGGGTGTGGGAGCAGAGATGGTAAGTCCATGTGGAGTGAGGGGAAGGAGGGGTTTGAAGCTGTGCCCGGGAACTGGGACATCAGTTATCACTGGATGCTGCCATCCTTCCCCACAGGCAGCAGCGGTTCTGACATCATGGTGAGCGACTGCCGCCACAAGGAGCAGATGAGTGATTGTTCATATACCCGCTCTTCTCCAGTGTTTGGCTTCTGGATATTTTCTCGATGCTGCCTCCGGGAGTTCTGCAATAACCCTCAGAACAGAGTTTTCTACATTCCTTAGAATTTCTGCAAAGACTTTTGGAATAAAATCCTGCCAGTTGCCATCCATCTTCTTGATTTCCAGTTGGCTGGCACAGCCAGGACAACTTCCAGTCCTTTTTACGAGCCCTCCCTGCCTCTCTCAAGTTACTGGCCCCCAGCCCTGTCTCTTAGTTGACACCCCTCAACCTCCCCCACTCCCACTCTGCCCCTCCCCCAGAAGTCTGAGTTTTCCCTTCAAGTCCTCAGGGTCTGACAGCTTTTGTCCTCTTCTCCCACCTCTCAGCTGCTTCTTTGCCTGGCTTTGCCCCATCTCCCACCACAAGCCAGTCTCACCTCAAGTCCCCAGGTGTTCCTCCCAAATAAATTGGTGTACACTCTATGGCTTGTCTCTCTTCTGGTAGTGGTGGAGGCTGAGGTCCTGCCTGACTGCCCCACTGTGGCAGCAGGTAAAGGGCTCCTGCTCTGCTGAGCTCTGATCCTGCCTGGTCTCCACATCTTGGATTCAGTTCTAGGCGCAAAACAGTGAAAAGGAACTGGAAGCTCCGCACCGCAAAGGCAAAAAGGGCAGTGGGGTGAAACCCAGAGCTGTGTGAGGATTGGAGGGGAGGTCCACAGGAGGAAAACAGGGATGCTGGTGGGAGTGGAGCTGAGAGGCATGGGCCCAGGCAGAGGGTAGGGGAGGCATTCTGTGGAAGTCGCTAAGTCTAGTGGAGCCCAGGCCTGATCCTGGGCTCAGCTTCCCACTTCAACGGTGTGAGAAATTACTGCAGAACTTTGGGCCTTGGGCTCCTCAGCCTGAGACTGTCCTCCAGTTTGACTTGCTAGAGTTGTATAAACCCAGACTTCTTTCTACACTGAGGTCAGAGGTGATGAGGAAAGGTGCACCCAGGTTTTTGTACCTCCTAACTTCTTCCTGACCTTTCAAACTATATTGGCACTTCCTGCCAGAGCCATGAAGCTCTGTTAACATATGTACAGAATATTGTGTAAGTGCTTGCTGTAGGATGCCATTTGTATCAAATGCCAACCAAATTCCTCTAAGCAGCTATTACTCAGGACAACAGCAACCAGGCTGAGTTGGGAGAAGTGCCTGGGAAGACAGGATACACAAGGAAGCTCCGGGTGGTGATAAAGGCCTTTATACTGACGAGGACTGGTAACACAGCTGTGTGGTTTACAAAAACTCAAGTTATAGTATGTAGAAGCTTCTGTACGTTTTGCCAAAAAGGTTTAAAGATAGGCCACAGGGTCACCTTGCCTGGCTCAGTTGGCAGAGCACATCACTCTTGATCTTAGGGTTGTGAGTTCGAGCTCCATGTTGGGGATAGAGATTACTTTAAAAAGTAGTAGTAATAATAAATATGTACATATACAAATGCCACAATCTATATGTACCTTTTCCCCCAAGGCATGTATCTATTTTGGAGGCTCTAATTTTCACTTGTACACACGCTACATGCATTCTTTCAATCCTGAGGTACTATCCCTCCTTGACAGGTGACCAAAGTGAGGCAGAAACCAACTTGCCCAAGTGGCAGAGGAGCTGGGATTAGGCCTCCCAATCACAAAGCTGCACTACTTTTCATAAAAAGCACATCCCCAGCACTGAGTTAGAGATTCAGAATGGCAGGCACCTGGCTGCCCACAGCAGTGTGTTTACCAGCTGTATGGAAAAACTTAGGAATATTCATTATTGCTTTCTGTATGCTTGTGCTTTTTCTTTTTTTTTTAAAGATTTATTTATTCATAGAGAGAGAGAGAGAGAGAGAGAGAGAGAGAGAGAGAGGCAGAGACATAGGCAGAGGGAGAAGCAGGCTCCATGCAGGAAGCCTGACGTGGGACTCGATCCCGGGTCTCCAGGATCACACCCTGGGCTGCAGGTGGTGCTAAACCGCTGCGCCACCGGGGCTGCCCGTTTTTGCTTTTTCCAAAAATAAAATATTAAAATGAAAGATCTAACCACTGCAGCTCCATCTGTGTATCACTGAACAACATCCACCCTAACTCCTTACTGAGGGGGGGTTCTGGGTGCCAGGATCCTAAAAAGAACAGCAGGCAAGAAGCCAGGTCCCTCAGTACCAGGTAACTCAGATACCTGGGCCGTTTGCTCTGCTCCTGAATTTTCCTGATTTAAAAGCATTTTTCCTCCTCTCTTAGATGGAAAAGCCATCTAAGGGGTTTAACTTTCTAGGTTTTATAGGGCAAGTTTGTTTTCATTTTTGATTAAAGATTTTATTTTGAAGCAATCTCTACACCCAATGTGGGGCTTGAACTTAAAACTCCAAGATCGGCAGCCCTGGTGGCTCAGCGGTTTAGCCCTGCCTTCAGCCCAGGGTGTGATCCTGGAGACCCAGGATGGAGTCCCACGGATTTCCTACATGGAGCCTGCTTCTCCCTCTGCCTCTGTGTCTCTCATGAATAAATAAATACAATCTTTAAAAGAAAACAAAACAAAAAAAAGCCATCCAAAATCAAGAGTCACATGTTCTATTGACTGAACCAGTCAGGCAGCCCTGTGGGGTAAGTCAAAGGCTGAGAGAAGTCATAACCCTCATAGCTGAACAGACCTCTAGCTAAGTGGAAGGTGGGATGGATATAGGCTCTTTGGGAGCAAGCCATGAGGAAGCCACAAAGGCCAAGTGGAGTGGGTCAGGCTGCAGACGGTTTGATCCCCATGCCCAATCAACTTGAACTGGTCTATACTTGCCCATACCTGAGCCTGACCCCATAAACAGTGTGACACAGACTTAGCCCAGTCCATTTATTGTGGAGTTTGTGGAGAGCAAGCAGGAGATGTGGAGCAGAGCAGGGGGGACCCTCTCCTCTCCCCTGGCATCTATGGAAGCGGGTTTCAGGACTCAGTGATGCGGAGTGGGGCTGAGACCACGGACTGCAACGAGAGGAGAGAAGCAGGTGACCAGGGCAGGGAGGTGGGAGTAGACACAGTGAGGCAGGGACACCACAGTGCCTAGTAAAGAAACGTGCACATTAGTCTACCCTTCTTACTGCAAGTTCAGTCTGGGTCTCAAGGTAGGCATAGAATGTGATCTACAAACAGATCTGAACAGAGGCAGCAGGTGACCAGATTGGCAGAGGACTGGGAAGATGAGGGGCATGGCTGACTCCGGTGACCAGAAAGGGACCAGGAAGCCACTGTGCCTTCCCCAGGCCAGCCTGGGCAGACTCTGAACTCATTATTTTCTAGGAGGTGCAGCACCCCAGTTTCTGGGAAGAAAATGACACTAAAGCCAGAGACACTGAAAATACAGGGGAATGGAGACCAGAGAAATCACAGAGCAGAGAAAGTAGGTGTTCTAGGACAGCACAGGGGGCTGTGGTGTTAGGGGAGAGATGCTGTAATGGAGTGAAATCCACAAGGCTCAGGCATCAGGGCTTAGTCCAAGGAAGAACCAAAAGTCCCGAACTGTTGAGAGACAAATATATGTGACGCAGGTCAGCAATGGATAAGCTCAGATTCAGGGGCAGGGTGGCCAGGTTACCCAGGCATTCAGGCTCCCCCCCAGCATGGAAGCTGCGGAGGGGAAGCGAGAGGTTCAGGGCCCGGTAGAACCACTGGATCTGGGACTCAGAGAGGGGCAGGCCCCAGGTCCCAGCAGGGGGGTCAAGTGGGGAGCTGTGGAGCTGGGGGCTGGACCAGGAGTTGCAGTAATCATACTGGCAGCACTGGGCCTGGTACCAGTACTCCGGGAAGTAGGTATTGCGTTTTTCTTGGCAGCGGTAGGAATTATACTGTCCACAGCCTCGGATGAAGAAACGAATCTTGGTATCTGGAGAAGAGGGAACAGCTAATAACCCCCACTGTCTCCCACAGTCCCCAAACCTGATATACTCACCCTAGACTCTCCCAATCCCTCACCCAGACCTGACTTCCATCCCAGACTCCTTCAGAAGGGGTCAGAAAAACTGGCTCAGTGGAACCCCCAAAACCCCAGACTCCTCCTTCCGGGATCCTGCTGTCCTCTTCCTGTACCACAGGCCCTAAGCAGCCCTCATTTAGGAGAGGAAAGGAGACCCAGCCATGGGCTATCCCACCAGCAGCCCCTTCCCGGGGCTTGACTTACCATAGTAGATGGTGATCACCATGCACGGTGACGTGCTGCTGATGGTACACTTCTCTGAGCCTGAAATGCACCCTGTAGAAGGGTCTTCTAAGAGGCAGAGGTGGCAGGTCCGGACTTCAGGACCAGGAGCTGCAGAAGCAGAAGACAGGAGGGATGGGAGTGTTGGCTCATTCCAAGTTCTCTGCCTTGCAGGCAACCCGTGAACCAGGGCTACAACCCCACCCCTCTCAGGACTCAGTCACCCTTCTCTCCTTGCCCCTGGGCCCCCACTTACCTTTTCCCACTGCGAAGCCCACCATGACCAGCACACCTACAAGCATATGGACTTTCATGATGGAATTCTGGGGAGAAGGGCAGTCCCTGAGGGGCATTCTGAAACCCCACCTTCCTGTGACCATGCTCCTTGATCCTGAGCTGCAGAGTGGTTTTGATAGACAGTTTGAGCAGGAGCTGCTGCAGTGGCAGAGCTATATTCCTTGACTGGGGGAGGAAGTTATTAACTTGGCTGGAGGACAGTGCGTCCTCACCCACAAGCGTCGGGTTCCTGAACGTGGGAACAGTGGCCCAGACAAAGGACACCTGGGCCTTTATCCAGCTATTGTTGTCCCTCATGTCCTGAAAATATCTATTCCCACACCTCAAGGGTCCATGGATCAGCTTCTACCTCTGGTATCACCTGCTGTCCTCCCCATTCAATAAAACCAGTCCCTACAGTGCTGGGAAAAACTGGTACCTAGGATCTCCATTCTTCAGAGATGAGCATGTCTTAGCTCCCCCAGCAGGGGGCGAACAGACACCACCCAGCAGCAATTCTGAACCTCATTCTCTCTCCACCCCTTAAGAGTTCTGTTTGCCAGAACCAGGGCCCTGTAAAATAAAAACTGGAAGATTTTTGTTGTTGACTATACTCCTTACAGTACAAATATACAGCCATAGGTGGCCAAAAAAGAACAAATATGTCTCTAGTTTTTGAAATCTGATCTTCCCCTGGGTCTTTTCCTTGTGCCTTGCAATCTCCACATCTGATACTAGATATTCTGCTCTACTGCTAAGAATATCACCCAAATCCAGTGGGCACAAATCTGAATCTGTGCTGGTTTTCACGTTGAGGGTGGGCTGGGCCATGAGGGCCCTTGAAATGAAGCACAGCACTACCCTCCCGTCCCCCAACCCCAAGCACCAGCAGACCAGCTCATGGCCTTTTCTTCCACTTTATTTCATATTCCCACCACAATAATGACTCCTTTAATTTAAACTAAAAACCATAGAGGGTTCCTGAAAGGGTGGCAGCAAAGGATCGGAGATGTCAAAGACTGAGGGACAGGTAGAGTGGGGAATCAGCGAATCGTCTTGACTGGGCTCTTGAAGTTGCTGGCGGCCTGGAGCTGCAGCTGGTAGGCCATTGGATGGATCTTGAAACCGTAGAGCCTGGGCAGGGGCAGAGGTCAGAGAGGCAGCAAGGTGAGCCCTACCCTGGCCCTGTCAGCAGCCTGTATTTCCACCTCCCCACCTCAGCTTCTCCATGAGTCTGCTCAGTGCTTAAGGACAGTGGCTCCCAAACATCTTCCCTCTAGAATACTAGGAAATATACCTTCAACAACCATTAAATCTCAAATTCTAGCCTACTTTAAACACACATACATACACACATGTAATTGCATCTATGTGTGTGCGCATATTCATACTTGTTTCAATATGATACCAAACTGCGCTTCTAAACTACTTTCTCCTGGCAAAACGTTGAGCACCCAAGATGATGACAAGAACAGTTATCATTTGAATGGTGACTTCAAGTGCCAATATGATTCGAAGCACCTCACTACTTAAATGTGCCCTGTCAGTCAAGTACTGTCATCACTCCCGTTTCATGGATAAGGGAACTGAGGCACAGGCAGGCAAACACCTTCCCCAAGGTCACTCGCTCTGGGAGAAGCAAACCTCAAGAAAGGACCATGCCCTGTCCTCCCTTCTCTCTGGGGAATCCCAAACCTTTCCTTTGACCCTGGGTAACTCTATCCCTGCTCCCCACCTGGGCACAAACTGGTTCGCGGGCCGCTTGGGCCGGTACTCGGGGTGCACCATGAAGAGCATGTGAGGGAAACCGGTGCCGAAGTAGGCGCCATCCGTGTGATGGTGCCTCGATGACTTGGGTGTGTACACGTCCATGCACTTGGGGCAGTAGAGCTTCACCATGGCCTCACCTGGGATGTCCGAAAGGCCTGGGAGACAGCTAGACTCAGCAGGCCAGGCACCCCCGAGCCTGCCCCACCACCCTCCCAGACTCAGGCTCAGACTTGCTGAGCCCCATCTCCTTCCCAGAGGACTGGCCATTTCATGAGGCCTCCTTTCCCTTCTCCAACACTCACCGATGGGAAGCATTGGCTGGTTCTCACAGTACACACGGGGACAGTAGCCAAAGTCTCCCTGCTGGTACTTTTCCAACTGAGGTGAATAAAATGAAAGGGGCCGGTGGGTAGGTATGAAAAGAAGAGGCAATCCCCTCCTCAGTCCAACCCACATTGCTCTGTCCTCCACTCCTGCCTCCTTCCGTCCAGATGCCCCTTTTAAGCTGGCCAGATGGGCCCTCCTACTCCCTTGCTTCCTTTTCTCCAGGTAGGCAAGTTACAGACCATCAGAGCCATTTGCTGTTTGTTCCCGGAGGAAGAGGCAGACTGCAAAAAATTCCTGTCCAAGGTCACATCTCCCTCCCCGAAAATACCTCAGTCAGCACAACCCCAATTAGGATTTAATTCCCAGGCCCAGGTTCTGGGGTTCTTCCCCCTCCTTTTTTTTTCTTAAAGATTTTGTTTATTCACGAGAGACAGAAAGAGAGACAGACATAGGCAACAGAAGAGGCAGGTTCCCTGTGGGGAGCCCAATGCGGGACTCAATCCCAGGACCCCAGGATCACAACCTGAGCCGAAGGCAGACGCTCAGCCTCTGAGCCACCCAGGCGCCCTCTTCCCCTCTTCTTAGCTACAATCTGTGACAAGTTTGAAAACGTGACTCCTTGCTGCAAGAACCTGTTTCCCTTACTACCTCAGAGGAGTCAAGTGGGAGCAGAGAGGCCTCACCATCTGGGCGATGCCACGGTTGGTGAGGATATAGCGGGCGTGGATCAATCCATAAAGCATCTCGGCTGCCTGCTCAATCAGGTCGCTCTGGTTGGGGTTGTCTTCCAGCTCTTCATCTGAAACATGGCCGCAGCCAATTGCAATCACTTGTCTTACAGCTTTCTTAGGTGCCCCATCCACCTCCAGGGGCTGCTGGCTACTCATCTTTACGCCACCCATCACCTGGGCATTTGACCCAGAAACCTGGGCCTCTGGCCCTTCCACCCACCCAAGGCAGCTCTGCCCTCTCTCTACACCTCTTCAGCCTTTACTCTCTTCTCTCCCTCCCAACTCTCTCAACACATAAATGAAAAAGATCAACACAGAAGCTGGAACTCTAGACTGAAAGGCGCAAGGCAAGACAGGTAAGCAGGAAATGAGATCCATAAGGAAACTAACATTAAGGGAGAGAGCCAAGTTACAGGATCGGAGTGTAGAATCAGGCTGTTTATGTCACAAATCCAGGCAAAAGTCAGATGAGGGAGCAAAATAAAGTACAAAACTTAGGAAAAAGGCAATCAGAGAACCAAAAGGAAATTTAGAAATTCAAGAAGCAGATCAACAGGAATTTGGGAGAAAAAAGAAAAACCACACACACACACACACACAGACAACCCTGAAGATGCCTCACCAGGCTCCAGGTCCAAGATCATGTCTAGAGCTTGTCGATAGTGAGGCACCTGCTCATTGAGTCCAGTGAGATTGAATTTATCCTGGATGTAGTCTTCATCCACCTGTCAGGATGTGGAAGTCAAGAAGAAACCCATAGCAGAATCCTCAGCTTTGATCTGGGCACATTGCTCTAATTGGTGCCTTGTTCCCAACACAACTGCTTCTGTTTTCCCTAATTCCCCACACCAACTCAGCAGAAGTCCTTGAGTCTCTCTCCCCAGTTCACATACACTGCCTTCCCATAAAAGCTCTGGCTTTTCTTTCCTAAGGATAAGCAGCTACAACAATCTCTTCCTTAACGAGACACTCCTTTTAAAATCCCTGTTCCTATTCTTGATCCCATCTCTACAGACCAGTTTTGTCCTCTCCTTACAGGCAACTAGAACTCTAAGAAAAGCAGGGACTAAACAGCTTGGGTCCTGTGGACAGTTATAATCCATTATATCATTAGCACAAAACTTTGCCTGTTACAAAACACTTTCATAAACGGCATTTTAATCCTAATAGGCTCCCAAATTAAGCACTACTAGTACAAGCCTAGCAATAATAATAATAATAACAGTAGTAGTAGTAATAAAGTTGACTTTTCCAATATTACACCGCTGGACGGTAACAGGCTTGGGATGGGCAAGTCTTGCCACTTCACAAATTAGTGAGGGGAGTTACTGAAGGGACTCTTCCTTGACAGGAAAAAGTTTCTATGACAGCCTGTAAGAGAAGTAGAAGCTAAATATGTGGAAAAACATACAGCCAAACTTTGTGCGGACATAGCTGGGAGATTGAGAACTCACTTCACAAAAGAATTCATTGCCACGGAGCCCACAGAACCAGGATATCCAAGACACCTCCTCTGAGCTGCTCATCTTCACGTCAGCTGGGGAAAAAAAAAAAAAAGAGGGTAAAAAAACAGGAGGGTAAACAAAGTCCAAGCTCTCCCACCCTGCCTCTGGTACCTTCCCTCCTCCCCACTCTGCTCCCCGACCATGGAAGAATTTGGAGCCCCCTTTTCTTAAAGGATCCTAGACCCTGGCGCACCTCCCTCCAATTCCTTACTCACTAGAGGCTCTTTGGAGTCCCACCACTTCTGAAGAACCGACAGGTCTTGGCCCACCCGTCCTACCCACATCCCTAACAATCCCGAAAACCAGCAGCCTCTCCTCTTTACATCAAGTCCCTCTCTCGCAGGGCTCTCGGCTCGAGATCCCTACCCCGCAGGTCTCTGCATGTCCCCGACACCTTTCCCAAGGGTTCCGAAGTTTATCCTTTCCAAGCAAAAGCCAGGACCCTTTCCCCTCACGACCTGGAGGTGGCTCTGAGTCCCTCTCACAGGAGTCCCCACACCCCGCCTCTCAGGCCAACCCTCCCTCCCCCGGTGCCGGACCCGGTCACTTCCTTCCCCACCCCCACACCAACGCGCGGAGACCCCATGTGCCGCGCCTAAGGACGGGAGACTCGACGCGGCAACGACCTCAGACTCACCGGCTGGGCGGGGACCGGGACCGGGACCGGGGTGGGGGGAGGGGAGTTGCTGCCTCCAAAGAACCGCGACGGCTACAGCACAGGCCGCGGACCCGACCGCGGCAGGCGAAGTAGCGAAGGGGGTGGGGGCGGTGTGTGTGGAAATTGGGGAGGGTGGGGAGAGGGCAACGCGCAAGCGCCAAGGGTCGGGCGCCGCAGTGAACGCCGGGAAATGGAGTCCCAGGTAAAGAGAAACTGGCGAAGCGAAGAACAGGCGAACTACGAATCCCAGGATGACCCACGAACGACCCTGGCGTCGCGAGGCCCAGGAACAAGACGCTCGGGGGTGGGGAGCAGCGGGATACCACCGGAAGCGGAAGCGCAGTACCCCGTTCTGGGCCAGGGAGTATGGGAAATAGAGTCGTAGGGTCGCGCAACTGAGGGGCCGAGAGGGGGCGGGGAAGGAACGGGGCTGGAGGGCTGGATTCCTGCAACTCCCCTCACACAGCGAGGCTCTGCCCCAGGTGTTTGCCGGCAGCCCAGGGTGCTGACCTCGTCCCCGACTACCCCACCGGGTCCTTGTTGCCTGTGGAGCCTCTCGCCAGAGTCAGGCCCGCCACTGGAGGCCCCACCCGGGCCGGTGCTTCACCCCGGGGTCTAGTCTCCTCAGGCGGGAGGTGAGGCCGGGCTCCTTGCTTGCGGGACGTGGGAAGAGTGGGCTGGGCTGAGGTGAGCGGTGTGAGAATTGGGACGGCCCGTGCGCTAACCTGAAGTGGCGCCAGCCATTCTGCTGCTCGTCCCCTTG